ATCCAAATATTTTGGAAATTTGTCAGAAGGGTTGTTTTGATGATTTCTAGGTCAAGTTTGAAGATGGGATATCTCCAGTCAAAAACTAGGTCACAGGAGCTAAAAATATAAAAAGCTTGTTAACACTCTAATGGTTGCAGTTTTCATCCAGACATTCTGGAAATTTTTCAGGAAGGTTGTTTTGATGATTTCTAGGTCAAGTTCAAAGATGGGTCATCTCCGGTCAAAAACTAGGTCACAGGAGCTAAAAAAAAAAAGCTTGTTAACACTCTAGAGGCTGCAGTTTGCATCTAAATATTCTGGAAATTTGTCAAGAAGGTTGTTTTGATGATATCTAAGTCAAGTTTGAAGATTAGTCATCTTCGGTCAAAAACTAGGTCACAGGGGCTAAAAATAGAAAAAGCTTGTTAACACTCTAGGGGCTGCAGTATTGATTCAAATATTCTGGAAATTTGTCAGGAAGGTTGTTTTGATGATTTCTGGGTCAAGTTCGAAGATGGGTCATCTCATGTCAAAAACTAGGTCACAGGAGCTAAAAATAGAAAAAGCTTGTTTACACTATAGTGGCTGCAGTTTTGATTCAAATATTCTGGAAATTTGTCAGGAAAGTTGTTTTGATGATTTCTGGGTCAAGTGCTAAGATTGGTCATGTCCGGTTAAAAACTAGGTCACAGGAGCTAAAAATAGAAAAATCTTTTTAACACTCTAGTGGCTGCAGTTTTGATCCAAATTTCTTGGAAATTGGTCAGGAACGTTGTTCTGATGATTTCTAGGTCAAGTTTTAATATGGGTAGTGTCCGGTCAAAAATTAGGTCACATTGCCCAAATATGAAAAAATCTTTATAACACGCTAGAGGTCACATGTGTGACTCAGTTGTCATCAAACTTGGCCATGATGCTTGTTTAAGACATTGCTTGGACGCGGTTGTGTCAGGTGAGCGATCCAGGGCCATCATGGCCCTCTTGTTTTTAAATATTTACCTCAGTAGAACATTTATTGGGAACAATGATGATTAATTATTATGATAATGTTTTCTGTGAGTTTACAAAATCAGAATTTCAAAATGGTTTTGATACATGATGTATTTTATCCATTTTTTTGCAATTTATGCAGAATAACAATTATGATGTCTGGTGTATCATAAATCATATATAATAATTATGTAGAATCTGAAACAACAGATATCAATTTTCACAACTGAGAGAGAAAACTTCAGTTTTACAGAAGCTTGTTGATAACCAATGATGATAATGACCTCTCATTGCCACCAGTATATAGGCTCCAGTGACCGATGGGGTAAAGTCACTCACCTCAAACCACTTGTTCATTACCCATGTTTGTTTGTAATGACACTATGGACTTTGAATTTTCATATGTGAAGAAGCATTCAAGCTAAAAGAAGGTAGGTGGTTCTACTTGGGTTCCTGCTTATGTCCCAAAAATGTCTCAGGCACTCAAGGTCTTCTTCCATCATTAAAGCTGGAAAGTTGCCATATAACATTAAACAGTGTTAGTGCGACTTAAATAAATAAAAAAATAATAGTAAAAAGAAAAAAAACTGGAAAAAAAAATCACCAGTTTTTAGATCCAGTCTGCACATCTTTATAATCTGACCAGGAACTAGGCAGGTGTCTGCTTTCTTTTAGTATCGTAATAACATGATATGCAATTTGTGAATTAACAAATAACACAACATTTGTCACATGGCAAGTTAATTTTTACAAAAGCTATGTTACTAGTGTGATAAAGATTCATACATATTTTTTCATGTAACAATTATGTAAAAACCCAAAAGATAAAGATCTGTTAGGAATATCAAGTTGTACAACTGGAAGTATTATATCTCTGCTTTACATATGCTGGTGTTGTAAAGATAAATGTTCAGTAATTGTATGGACAGATAACTGTAGTAGAAGTAGGTTGCTTATATGTTGACAAGAAATCTTTCTCTGGTTTGCTGGTGTTGATGTAGAATGTTGGCAGAGAAAATTTATTCTTCCAACAGTTGTCATGTTGTATCTACAGAGTTCTCCTCATTGCAGTATTATGCTGTTTCACTGTAAATATCAAGGTGCAGTCTGATGAATATTGCAGGCTGCTTTCCAATTTACAGTACTGCTCAAAATTTCTGTTACACCATTTAGAATATTGAAAACTTTATCTTTTAAACAATTTTGATTCTAGTTGAATTAAACTCAGAAGCAGAACACATTATTATGTCATCAAAACTAACATTAAAATTCACTTACAAATAAATGGAAATGATGAAATGTATTGAATAATTTAGATGTCTATGCCTCAAGCCCCCTCCAGTAGGAGCATGTGATTATTATGATTTGGTAGGTCTGTAGATCAATGTTAATGTAGTGTCCAATCATTAACTTAAAAAAAAATATGGTTTAAGTAACTTGGTAGGGACATTGTCCCTGGCCAATAGATGACTCAAGCCATTTTGAGGTCATTAGGTTGAAGGTCTAGGTCACAATGGCACTGTGTAAAATCACTATATGATCGATAAATTGAGATGGATTATGCCTTGGTGGGAATAGTCTTTGACATAATTTCCTTTAATGAAGATGGTATTTTTAACTTTATATTTTTGTATTTTATATTTTTGATTCCCTTTGAAGGATGCTGTTTGAAAATTCGACATAATCAGAGTTATAGCAACCTACAAGGTTTAAGATAAATGTAGAGTGTATAGGAAATTTTGAAAGGTAACTGTAGGATGTGACAATCTCTGTCTCTCTCTCCCCGAGGATTACCTGGAATTGTCTCACTTTCGATCAATGAGGATTGATTATGCATAGAAAATAGGAAATGTTTTTTTCATTTGAAAGTTATATTGTTTGATGGAGCTGTGATGTTGCATTAGGTTTCATACAGTGGGAAAGTTTCGAAATGAAAAATGTTAAAAAAGAATGATTTATGGCTTTGGAGTTAAAATCTTGCTGAATTAAAACAGTGTTTGAAGCAATAGGATCTTAAAAAATATTGAAAGATGTGTTTTTGAAAATTTATGATAAATGGAAGTATTTAAAAAAACAACAGCAACAGAAAGTTGAAGATTTTGTATTTTATTGACAAAGAGGAAATTCTTCTTTAATGGCAACATAGAATTATTAATAAAACAGTACAAATATATATTTATTGCATAATAATCAGAGGGCTCAAGAGATGCAGCCTCTTTGTACTATATCCTCTATGTGTATTAATATTTCTGTCATTATAGCAAGTGAACATTATTACAGTGTTTACTGTATTCTTAATAATAAGTGAACACCATTGTGGTGTTCACTGTTCTCATTTTGATAAGTGAACACCACCAGTGTTTACTATATTCTTTATAATAAGTGAACACCATAACAGTGTTTACTGTATTATATAAGTGAACATCATTGCAGTGTTCACTGTATTCTTTTGAAGTTCACATTGATTCAAAACATAATTACTACCTCTAAGTTAAGTTAAGGTTAGTGTTTGTTAAGTCAGCATTGATTTGACGGAGCATTGACAGACTTAATTAAGAAACACTTACTGTACCTAATGAACTGCCACCTTACTATACAGGTCATTTGAAAGAAAGTTAGATTAAATTCAAAATGCTGAATGATTTAGAAAAACAGCATAATTGATTTTTTTGCTGTGAAAATCTTAAAGAAAGGTGGTTATTAGAGTTTCTGGAAAGACTATTAATGTAATGATAGATACCTGACTCCGTAGACATTTCTATTTTTAGAGTCTTGAATTGTTACGAACAATATCAATTATTAATACCTTGAAATTGTTAACATATTTTGTTTCATTAGTTAGACGAAGTGGGTTTAACATAAAATTATATTGACATTGTCTATGGCTGATTGATATAAGTCATGCTGGGTTGAAGTCAGTAATCTTTGACAAACATTAAAATCCATATTGATCAAAATAATTTATATTTAATATTTGCTCAGTGCAAATCATGGTTTGTTGTATTTACTTGTTTTTGGTTTTATTTGAATTTTTAATATTATACATAATATCTTTTTTCATTTATTACTTTTAATATTACATGTATTTAGACCTTTACGTTTGTTTCAATGTTTGACAACGTATTCCAGAAATCATTTAGCTCACTTAAAAGTTACTTTTTTTGGCTAGATTGTTCTAACTTTAAGCTTTACTTTCCAAAGGGGCTGGAAAAATTACCCTAACCTCAGATCTATTTTCACAACAACATCAGGTATTCACCTGAACTCCACACAAGTTACAGATCATATTTGGTGGCTTCAATAACCCATAACTCTGTCATTGATTTTTACTGATTTGTTCCCCTTTGTCAACTGTCAAGCATGGAGAATAGGCATGTATGGCATCCATCTGATAGGTCTTTTTTTTTAATTTTAATATCAACACCATGGATATTTGCATTTGTTGATACTTGCCTAAAATAGAAATTACAAAGATTCAGTTCAAAATGATTATACAATAAAACTCATATTTTACCCAGGATGATAATTATAGGAATTGCATATTGCAGTAGATGATTGTTTCCAAGCTACAGTATTATGACTGCATCAATATGATACTCTTTGATGATATTGAAATAATCCATTAATTTACCTGTTAATCTGAAACATTCTGGACACAGATTTAATAAATGTCTTGGTAATGTTGAATATTTGATTTAATGTTTAAAAACAGGAAAATACAGTAATACAATGGATCGATCTGGTTAATGATAAAATTGAGTCTGTAAAAATGTTACCGAGACAAAGTGTTTATGTAACAGAAGATTGAAATGGAGGGAGTGAAAGTAAAGTTACAGGTGATATAGAAAATATAGAAGTATTTTATGAAAGTGACAATATTGATGAGTTTATTGCAATGATTAATCACGAGAGAGAAATTCAACATGGGATAATTTCGTTAAAAGTGATTGGAAGACAAATGTATGCTTTTATAGACAGGTATGTTGCCGATTATGTTAACTCGTGCTTAAACCTTACATCTTCTACAGAAAAAGAAGAAAAGGCTATAGCTGCTATCAAGAAAGAGCCAATACAAGTTGACCAGTTTCTACAAAAGTTGAGGCAGAAGAAGCTTGACAAATATCTCAACTTTGAAGTTAGGGTAAGTTTTGTGCCTTTTTCTTAATTATCAATTTTTTCTGTTGTATTAAACATTATTCATACCAAACCCATACATTTTAAATGAAATATACTGGAAATAGTTGAAAAGTTCATAAAAAGACATGAAATGACACTGCTTTATAACCCCATCCGTCTATCTCAGCTATTTCTTATAGATGTGACAGAATTCATCAAAGTTCATAAGCCTAAAGTTTATCAAATGAATTTTCCTCATCTTCTATTTCACTGATTTCTTACACAGTTATGGTTCTTCGTGCCTTTTCATTTGTTTTATTTATCTGAGCTATTTCTTAGCAGCCTATGAAACTGTTCCAATATGTGCATGTTAATTGTGAGTGGTGTAGTTTGATTATTTGTCATGCAGTTATGAAATTATACATGTATTAAATATATCTTACACAGAGATAATTTTAAATATGTCCAGCCTATCTGTAAGGTATGTCATGATTTGAATAAATTTAATTTACGACACATTAAAAAAATTGACATTTCCTCTTAAGAGATTAAAATTTGGAATAGTTTTGCCAAACATAATTTAAATGTTTAGTTTGAAAGAGAAAAAGTTTTCAGTTTTCAGCTCATTCAGCTAAAATGACTGATTTCTGAAAGTAAAATTTGGATAATTCACTTGGCATTAAAACTGTCATAGGGCACTAAACTTTTAGACTTGAGCAGCTGAAAGAAGAGTCTGATCTGACTGCCAAGCTATGTACTATAATATATAGGCACTGTATCTGTATTGTCAGTATAGGTACTGTATCTGTATTGTCAGTATAGGTACTCTATCTGATCGTCAGTATAGACACTGTATCTGTATTGTCAGTATAGGTACTGTATCTGTGTTGTCAGTATAGGCACTGTGTCTGTATTGTCAGTATAGGAACTGTATCTGTATTGTCAGTATAGGTACTGTATCTGTATTGTCAGTATAGGCACTGTATCTGTATTGTCAGTATAGGCACTGTATCTGTATTGTCAGTATAGGTACTGTATCTGTATTGTCAGTATAGGTACTGTATCTGTATTGTCAGTATAGGCACTGTATCTGTATTGTCAGTATAGGTACTGTATCTGTATTGTCAGTATAGGTACTGTATTGTCTTGTCAGTATAGACACTGTGTCTGTATTGTCAGTATAGGTACTGTATCTGTATTGTTAGTATAGACACTGTGTCTGTATTGTCAGTATAGGTACTGTATCTGTATTGTCAGTATAGGTACTGTATCTGTATTGTCTTGTCAGTATAGACACTGTGTCTGTATTGTCAGTATAGGTACTGTATCTGTATTGTCAGTATAGGTACTGTATCTATTGTCAGTATAGGCACTGTATCTGTATTGTCAGTATAAGCACTGTATCTGTATTGTGAGTATAGGCACTGTGTCTGTATTGTGAGTATAGGTACTGTATCTGTATTGTCAGTATAGGTACTGTATCTGTATTGTCAGTATAGGTACTGTATCTTTATTGTCAGTATTGGTACTGTATCTGTATTGTCAGTATAGGTACTGATCTGTATTGTTAGTACAAGAACTTAATTATACCCCCGAAACGAAGTTTGGGGGGGTATATAGGAGTCACTCGGTGGTTGGTAGGTCGGTCTGTCCAGCGGTCCGTTGCATTTTTATTGTCCGGAGCATAACCTGAAGACTTATGGTTGGAATTCAAAACAACTTCATACAATGATCAAGCACATTGAGAGGAGGTGCAGTGCACAAGAACCATAACTCCATCTTGTCTAATAACAGAGTTATTGCCCCTGCAAATTCTTTCACATGGTATTCTGTAACTAGTAACTTCCTCATTTCTGAAGCAGTCTTGCGGGGGTATTAATCATATTTAGTGATAGTTCTAGTTTGTATTGTAAGTATAGGCACTGTGTCTGTATTGTCAGTATAGGTACTGTATCTGTATTGTTAGTACAGGACCTTTATTTGTATTGTTAGTACAGGAACTTTATTTGTATTGTAAGTATAGGCACTGTATCTGTATTGTCAGTATAGGCACTGTATCTGTATTGTCAGTATAGGTACTGTATCTGTATTATCAGTATAGAGTACACTGTATCTGTGTATTGTCAGTATAGGTATTTGTATTGTGTGTCTGTTTTGTCAGTATAGGGCACTGTATCTGTAGTGTCAGTATAGGCACTGTATCTGGATGTGTCTGTGCAGTATAGGCACTGTATCTGTATTGTCAGAATAGGCACTGTATCTGTATTGTCAGTATAGGTACTGTATCTGTATTGTCTGTATAGGTACTGTGTATCTTTATTGTTATTACAGGAACTGTGTCACTCAGTTATGTCTGTTTGTATTGTAAAGTATAGGCACTGTGTCTGTTATTGTCAGTATAAGGCACTGTGTCCATGTCAGTGTAGGCACTGTGTCTGTATGTGTCCAAGTCATAAGGACTGTTCTGTATAGGCACTGTGTATGTAGTACTGTATAGCACTGTGTATTGTCAGTAAAGGTACGTATCTGTCATTGTCAGTAGAGCACTGTGTCCATGTCAGTATAGGCACTGTGTATAGACTGTCTGTATTGTAAGTATAGGCACTGTGTCTGTATTGTCAGTATAGGCACTGTGTCTGTATTGTCAGTATAGGGCACTGTGTCTGTGTATTGTCATTATAGGCACTGTGTCATGTCAGTATATTGTCAGTAGAGGCACTGTGTCCATGTCAGTATAGGGCATTGTGTGTCTGTAAGTATAGGCACTGTGTCCATGTCAGTAAGTATAGGCACTGTGTCTGTATTGTCAGTATAGGCACTGTGTCTGTATTGTCAGTATAGGCATTGTGTCTGTATTGTCAGTATAGGCACTGTGTCCATGTCAGTATAGGCACTGTGTCCATGTCAGTATAGGCACTGTGTCTGTATTGTCAGTATAGGCACTGTGTCTGTATTGTCAGTATAGACACTGTATATTATGTCCATGTCAGTAGAGGCACTGTGTCCATGTCAGTATAGGCACTGTGTCTGTATTGTCAGTATAGGCACTGTGTCCATGTAAGTATAGGCACTGTGTCCATGTCAGTATAGGCACTGTGTCTGTATTGTCAGTATAGGCACTGTGTCTGTATTGTCAGTATAGGCACTGTATCTGTATTGTCAGTATAGGCACTGTGTCCATGTAAGTATAGGCACTGTGTCCATGTCAGTATAGGCACTGTGTCTGTATTGTCAGTATAGGCACTGTGTCTGTATTGTCAGTATATACTGTATGTATTGCCAGTACACTGTGTCTGTATAGGTCACTGTGTCCATGTACACTGTATAGGCACTGTGTCTGTATTGTCAGTATAGGCACTGTCATGTCAGTCTGTACATTGTGTCAGTCAGTATAGGCACTGTATCTGTATGTCAGTATAGGCACTGTGTCCATGTCAGTATAGGCACTGTGTCTGTATTGTCAGTATAGGTACTGTGTCTGTATTGTCAGTATAGGTACTGTTTTAAGGTACTATATATTATCTTACAAAGCACATTTGTCTGCAAGGGAAAGTTCAATATTTTAGTGTATCTATTGGATGCAGTGTCAAGTTTTGTATGTTGATGAGTGAAAGGTTTATCAAACATTAATGTTTCCTGTTGTAGAGGTACTGAATAAATGATGACATGTGAATCAATCACATGAAATATTCAGTGATCTGTCATTACCTACTCATCATTGTTATATCAAAATCCCATTAGCTGCAGCATGCAGTGTAAAATATAATATCAAATATTTGATAGATATCCCATAACATTGTCAGTGTTTAATAAATGTCCTGTGGGCATTTCAGTGTTTGACAATTATAGACATGATGCTTAGACCTATTATCAAGCCATTGTTTGACAAAAGTCTTATAATATTGTCAGATTTTGCCTGATTTTGATAATAGATGATTGTCAGTATTTGACAACCTTTTGTGTTTTTAAAACAATAAAAGATATTGTATTACCCATATCTGACAATTGCCCTATAAGATTGTAATGTGTCCTATTAGAATACCCAGCATTAGCTTGGTAAAATTGGCAGAAATAATTCATATGCATGGTAACAAGTAAATGGTTTATTAAATCAAGTTACGGTTTAAACTAGCACATATCAGTTTAAAAAAACGAAATGCTATATTACTTGGTACAGAAAAAAAGTATTACTTCATATCTGATGTCATATGATTTAAGCAAAACATCTGTGAATAGGTGCAAAAATTTTATTGCAAATTGACAATGGTTAACATCTTGACAACAATTTGACAGGTATGTTTGATAAACAACAACTCCATTGCTTATATCATTTACAGCTATTTATGACATTCCATTAACAAACTGTATGTTTCCAAGATGTTTTCCACTGTACTTGATATATTAAATGCTTAAGCGCTAATTGCTTTAAATAATACCAGATCGGAGAAATTAGTTAATCATAAATTAACAATACTTTATTTTATTGGCATGGTATCTTCACATTTATATTTATATTTACTTGTCAGTTCTTTCTATCAAAATAGAAAACAAGTGGATCATGGACGGTGTCATTAATATAAATTACACGGTCTTCATTCTTGTGATGGGATTGACAGAATTAGAAGATAGATATATAGAGTCTAGTTATAGTATTTCCTGAAATAATCATAGTAACATGGTAATGACTGCATAATCAAGTACCGAAATTGGAAATCAATGCCATCCCTAGTAACTTTTTTGTGATTTGTTTTTTTTAAATAACACAAATTGTCAAAAGCTCAACTTTTGATATCAATTGCTTAGAAATAGCCTGAAAAGTATAGTCGCATGTGAAGTGTAGAATTAATATTAAATAAAAATGTCATTCCATTGTGTATTATAGAATTAACTTCAATTGCTTTTAAAAATCCCATTATCTAGTTTAGTGTAGACTTAATATAAAAAACTACACTAAAATCCCATTAGCTTACTTAACTTATGTTTGACAGTAATCCCTCCAGATTGTCCAGCATGAAATTTATGTCA